TTAAAAAAAAAAGAAAAAGAAAAAGAAAAAGAATGAGGTCACCTCTCACTGAGGTGAGTTTTTCTACAGGAAGCGAAGCTTGAGGATTTCCCCTGGGGCTGCTGTGCTGACCTTCACTGGCTGCATTTCACTGAGAACATCAAGCTGCACACAAAGGGATCAATGAGTGGCAGGCAACAAGACCAGGGTCAGAAATAAGAGTGAGAAGGTGAGGACCAGGCAGGAAAAATGGAAAGCAGATGCAAACAGGAAGCAAGGGCAAAACCCCAGAGGATCCTAATGAGGTTGGTAAGCCCAAATCAAGAAGACAGGGAGCAGAAGAGAAGTTGGTGAGGCTGAGAGCTAACATTGCAGATCACACCAGGCCCATGGGCTGGGGTAGCAGGAAGGTAGTGCCTGGGTACCTGGGGGATCTTTCCATTGGCTCCTGATCCATACTCAGAACCTCTGACCTGCCCAATTCCCTGTCCAGTAATGATGACTTTCTACACCAGCAATGTTGCTGTATCCCCAGCCAGGATATAATGGCCAGACATGTATGTGTTCATTTCCAGCATCACTTCTAATTATTCAGTGAGAGCGAACCCACTGTACTTATTAAAGGGCTCTGCTACCCAGCTCCCAAATGTGTCTTGGCCAACAGAGCAGAATATCAGCCTCATTTGAGTGACTGCATTCTAAACCATTGAGAGAAAAAATTTTGATAGACAAAAACTTTAGATATACTTGAGACTTCTCCATTCTATACCAAGAAGCAGCCATACAGTAAGTTTAGGACAGAGGAAAGTCTCCCAGGGAATGCTGTTTATTAAGTAAACAGTAAAGATCCTACCTAAGGTCAGATCTGGTGAGGGACAGGCTCAAGAGGAATCTGCTCCAGAATGATTAACAGTAATGGAGACTTCCATGAGTAATCGCATGACTGAGAAAAACAGTCCTAGAAAATATCACACCAACATTCGCATACAAGTGGCAAGAATAAGAAATTGCCTGTTCTTCAATTACCAAGCTGCCGAAGTCGTTGTTGAAATGAACACAAACCGATTTGTAAGCCTCAGTGCAGTTCTATATAATTTCTGTGCAAGAAGAGTGACATCACTAGAAAGGAACTTAGCACACCATTTCTTTATAAGCAGCTTAACATTAACACCCCAGGTGTCGGTCGGGAAATCAATTTAAGCTTGTCCAAGATACTCCAAGAGCATGCCACAGATTTGGAGATTAGCACTACAATGGGTGGATATGATAATGACATTAACTAATGGGAGCTTGCTTAGCAGGTCACAAAAGCAGTACTAAGTGCAGTGTTAAGTGATCATTCTAAGCTCTGAAAAATATTTGACAAGGAATGTTGGGCAACCCATTTGAAAATATTCCTCAAGACAAGCACTTTTGCACAGAAAGCTTTTAGAAACATTGCTGGCATAATGATATACTAGCCACACATGAGGAGGCAGGCATAGAAGGGATCCCGCCCTCTACCCCATTCTAAATTACTAGAATAAAAAGAAAGGCACCTACATTTGGTCTGTATTTCTAGCAACTGTCATCTTCCAAAGAAATCTCATAAGTACTGATCAGGGGGAAAAGTCAAATTACATGATAGAATCAAAATTCTTTTCTAGTAGGCCAGCAGTGCAATGAATTATTGTAGAAACCTTTTCCTTTGGAGAGGAAAAGAGCCAGGAAGAAGTTAATATAAACCTCTACACAGAAGACTCTGCCAGGAAAATGACTTCTAGTGATATAAACACAAGGCAGACGTTCTAGAAGAAATTTAAAATTTAATGAGACATGAAGCCTTCCAGCCATTACCTGCGTGAATGCAAGATGACAGCCATAAACCGGATTTTTAAAATCATCTTTGTTACCATCTAAAAATAACGTTTCTTCCAGTCCAGTAAGATAAAAAATTATCTGTGAACTAGCACAATTTAAGCATTTTCAAAAATTAAGTTACCAAACAATTGCTTTAAATTAATGAATGATAGTATCTTGGGGTGCCTGCGTGGATCAGTTGGTTAAGTGTCCGACTCTTGATTTTGGTTCAGGTCATAATCTCAGGGTTGTGAGATTCAGCCTTGAGTCGGGCTCTACACTGGGCTGAAACCTACTTAAGATTCCCTCTCTCTCTCTTTTTCCCTTTTGCCCTCCTCCTCTCCTTAAAAAAAAAAAAAAAATGAACATATCTTGATTTGACTAACTCAAAGCAACTCTTATGCTTCTTCTTTACCCTCATGGTGCAAGTTCTATCGAGCAAAGGTCAAAAGAAACTATCCTTATATTGGACTTCTTTAGTCTATAATGAGAATTGAAGCAAAATGATAATTTAAGAATATCAAAATTAAAATGACCATTAAAGCTGTTCATTTGATGTATTTCGCTAGACTGGTAAACTAGATCACAACTCAAGAATATGAATATGGCAACATATTATGAGATCCCTAGAAGTTTCAACTTAAATTTTCTCATTATACTTATAGGTCTTTCATTAATTTTCTGGTATTCTGTTTTGAATTAGATTTAAAAAAATAAGGAAAAATATTTTTTCAGTTCAAGGATTGTACTTATGTGACAATTTAAAAAATTTGTGCCAAATTCTAAACAACCCAATCCAATAAAAATTTCTTCAGCTTATTTAAGTAACTTAAAATCCCTCTTCTAAAACAGAAACTACAGTTTCATTTAAATCTACTTCCTCGACTCTTAGTTGTATCTTTTTCCCCCACCTCAATGCATGAATGCAGTATATCATTCTCGGTATGTTTTTCCGGTCATAGACATCTGTTGTTTCTGGATAAAATATCTGGAAAACAAAAGAAACAATGTGTTTTATTATGTTCTGCTTTGCACAGTTACTTTAAATCTCCCAAATGATGCTACTTGGATTGTCTTTGCTGTATTTATTTAAATGTAGAGGAACCCCTCCGTTGTTGCTCCCTTTCGCTCTACAGGCAGACCCATTGGTGCATCTGGTCCCCTGACAGCATGCCTCCTAGTGGGCTCAGGAGATCGGGGGATTTCCAGGAGGCCACTGCCAGAAGGCTGCATCCACAAGGCTGGGTGGCAGTTTTACTCCACACGTGGTAAGCCCGGTCAGGCTGTGTTCTCTGTAGCAGGGTCATTCCTGTGACTGCCTACAGGTACCCTAGCCTGAGAAGGGTGTCCAGCATACAGTGTTTTATTGTAACGTTAAACACCTAGCCTCACACTTGTGTATACAGGTATGCACACACACAACACACACTGATATTCTTTTCTGCTTGAAGGAATACATTTTACCAAATAAAATCTGGAAAGTAAATGAAGCATGAAAGAAACATTACCTATAATCTCACTTCCTAGATTGTTACCATTAGCCTTTTGGTATATTTTCTTCCAGTCTTTTTTCAATATGTGTCTCTTTTTATGTTTATGTCTGTATGTGAAAACAAAACTGTAATACTATAACCCCAGTTAGTATAGTGTTATTATAGTTCCATAGAAGATGACTGTTTTCCATCCCCTTCATTATTCTACTAGAATATTATTTCTAATAGATGTTTGTGATTCTTTTATTTTTTTGAATGATAATTTAAGCTAGTTCTCCAAGGCTGAACTTTTTTTTTGCCCCCAACTTGTCCCTATTAAATTTCACTGCAATGAACATCCCTGTATTTTCTGAACACCTGATCACTTTTTTGCATAAACACCTAAATATGTTTGAACACTGAGGCTTTTAATACACATTTACACTATTTTTAAACCTGAAACTAAAAGCTTGATAAGAAACAGATTTCAGAATAGGGCACCAAACTTCTCTGTTCCTAAGCACCAAAAAATGAATAATAAGCCTTGAAGCTTCTAAGAAAAAGATAAACATACTGGCATTGCTGGCTTTCAGCAGATATTTTATAAAAGTTGACATAAAAACTAAAATGACATCCTTTATCATATGATAGCACTTGATACTCAAGTGCAATTTTCTACTGGACATTGAAAAAAGCTGAGAAGAAAGCAGCGAAGTTTCCTCAGCCACAATGTAGAGCCACCGAGCGCTTAAAGAAACGTCTGCAGCCTAGGAAACTTCAACAATGAAAACTTCTTTTCAATGTTCCCTCAACCCCGTTTACAGTTACAGCGTCCATCAGAAGAGGATTCCCAGTTCAGAAGAACAGGTCTACTGGGGAAGCAGAACTGAACCCTACGGCTCCCCACTCCCTTTCTTTTCAACAACTTTCTATATTTCTTTATATCTCTCTGTATGGAAATATGTATTTATAGAAATATTGTTTCATTTCTTTTGAAAAATCTTTATGAAATAGGACTTCTTTTAGCATAAGATGGGATCAATTCATAGAGTTGCCCAGAACATTTTATTCATCACCGTATCCCCAGCTAAGTTAACACAATGCTGAACACGGAGTAGGCACTTAATATTGGTAAATGAAGACATTAGTAGTGGTCAAATATATCCATCAATCCAGCACACTATTGGTCTCTCATCCCTGCAATGTAATGGATCAATCACTTAAAAAAAAAATCAGTGTTAAAACAGCATCTGCTACATGGATCACTTATTTGGCCTAAAATTAAGGAAAACCTGGCCCAACACACACAATTTGATAAGGTTTAAATCAAATCTATGAAACGTAACAAAATTAGCCTAAAAGCCTCATACAGGAAAATCCTATTTGAATTTTTTTTCTTTCCTTATTAATCTGTTTACTACCCAGTTAGTACTTGCTAAATGACAATCTAGAAATATGAATTCTATGTTATAACTAGTGCCCAGATGGGAACAGCAATTAATGTTCTGGGCATTTTAGGAGAAGGGAAAGTAATGTGATTAAAAATGGAAGGAGAAATCAATATTGAATCAATATTGACTATTTTGAGATAAAATAAGCTGAACTAAATCAGGTATAAGCTCGAATAGATTGAAAAACAGGCCTTCATAATTTACATTAAGGAATTTTTTGTTTTTGTTGTGGTAGGGTTATTAAATTCAAACCTGGATTAATAATACCACCATCAACAAAGGTCTTACACCAGTAGCCTGTCCCCTTGCCTTCAAGCAGGATCACTCCTACATCACTTCTTCAGAACAGCTGTACATAATAAGCAATAGAAAGGAGTGAACTATTGATACCTACAAAAACCTGATGAATCTCGAGGGCATTATGCTTACTGGAAGAAAGTCAATCTCAATAGATTACCTACTTCTCAAAATGACAAAACCATAGAGATGGAGAATGGATTAGTGGCTGCCAGGGGACAGGGCTAGGAAAGGATGCCATGTCAAGACCTACTCCTCTGTGGTATCTGTATCTTAACCGTGCTGGTGGTCAAATACATTCATGGCATAAAACTGCATAGAAACACACACACAAAAATCAATGCATATATAAGTAAGGTCTGTAGTCTTGTTAACAGTAACATAACAATGTCAATTTATTATTTTACTACAATTACTAGATGTCACCACTGGGGGAAGCTAAATGAAGAATACACACAGATGTACTATTTTTGTAACTTCCTGTGAATCTAAAATTATTTCAAAATAAGAAGTTTAAGAAATCACTCTACAATTTCTAACAAATGTAATTATTTCCTCATTTCCTCTACTTGTCTATTTGTGTCTCAGGCTTAAGGGCACCCACTCGTTCAATTTAACAAGCTCTGAATATTTGCTGAGTTTTATTTGGCACAGCTATGTCAAGAGGAAGAGCTATAGTCCTCCAGCTTTTAACATTCAAAATGATAATATGATCTATAGTAATACTTTATAAAAATACCTTTGTCATTATAATGTACAGTGATACAATATATGGAAGTATAATACAGAATCTGAAGTTAAAAAGGAGGTGACTATTTTAAATGAACTATCTACCAGCTAGAGCTTGTTCTGACCTTGTGAATTTATACTCACTTTAACCTAGCTGCTCTCCATCTGTGTACATACTTCATCCTGAGTTCCTGCCATATATTACTTTGTACAGGCCTTTCCATATTTCTGTGTAGTCCTCACATTTGTCGTGCCTGAGTCAAAAAGGCCGTCTGCCGCATTACCATATCTCAGTATGCCACATCTTTTTTCATAATGAGGTGTTTACATGACCCCTTTTGGCTTACCTTGGGTAGACCAATAGACTCCATTGCCCTTAACCACTGGACCGTATTATCTGTGTGTCGAAAATGAAGGCCGGACTTCTAGAGTAGGGATGGGGAGGGGGGAGAAGAAGGGACCACACGAAAAGTGAGTCATTTGTAACAACTTTTTTTCATTAGTGGGATGTTTTCCAACTGTATTTCTCTTAAAATAGAGTTATTAAATCATAAAACAACTGGAGACACAATAAAGAAGATTGGGCCATCTCAGCAACACTGTTTGTAATGGGCCATTCCAGTTTCCACAATTCACATATTTGAGGTAATTCTGAACTAGAATCTCAAAGACCGTTTAATGTCTAGCACATGCCTCAGGATGTTTGAGACGCGTGTGCACATGTACACACACATACACACACACAGTGTCAAGATTTTGGCAACTATGGCTGAGAAACCTAGCAACTTCAGGAAAAACAGGATTTTTAGAAGACTAAATGCCTTCGTCCTGGTTTCTGGTTCTGCCAAAACATTTTTTTGTCTGATCATGAACAGGATTTCTGTAGAAAACCTGGAAAAGGTAGAAAAATATACAGAAAAAAACAAAGATGGAAGCAAAAACCACCCCACAGTTCAGGGGTAATTTTAGTATCTCATCCTCCTATGACTTAATCCTAACCTTTGCCTGTGTAAAAAGTAAACCTTCAGTGGAAATGCTTTACAAGACCTGTTACTGTGCGTACAACGACGACGGGCTTTCTATGTCTTCAGCTCTTCTTTACAAACTTCCTCAGCTGCCATTTTTTCCCACACAGTCTGTAACTGTGGCAACCTTTCCTGTATCTCATCCAGTTTTATCAGGTACTGAAATGTTGAGAGCCTTAACACTACCTTGTATTTTTAATTAGTTAAATGAGTAGCATAACGTTATGCATTTTTAAATTTTAATATATGTAAAAACAGTAATTACAGCAAGTTTCATTATATAATATCCAGTAGTAGAGAATCACATTCAGAAAGCCTGGCTCTTCCCATCTTCTCTGACCTTCCACAATCAAATAGTTTATGTAACAGAAAATATTTTTGTTGCTGTTAGACTTATACTTTATGAAGTATAAATCAAATTAACATTAGACAAATGTTTATGCCTTTTTAATAGTGGTCAGACTAAACTCTTTGTGTCAAGCACTGTAAGTAAATTATCTCTGATTTTCAAAACACTCTGCAAGGCAATTATCATTTTCATTTTTTAGAGATGAAGAAACCTAGGCCAAAAAGATCAACTAATTTGCCTAAGGTCAAATAGGTGTTAAGTGGCTGAGCTGAGATTCAAGATTAGGTCTCTGAATCTGAAAACCTTCCTTGTGCTAACATTCCCTGGGGACAGAACACAGGACCTAATGATGGTGGATTATTCTTTAGATGGAAAAAATCAGCAATTCCTATGAAATCCATAGAGGGAGGAAATAGTGGGGGAGAGGGAAGGAGAGGGAAAGAGGCAGGAGAGGGAAGAGGGGCAAGGGGGAGAGAGAGGGAGGGGGAGTAGGAGGGAGCCCAGAGAATCAAGAGCCAGGTGGTACCGTCTGAGGGTGACTCAGCATAAACAACTTTTACGGAATACAAACAATTCTCAGACATAGCCACTCTGTGACTGTGGAGGGACAAGATGGAAACAATCCACAATCACATCAAGACAGAGAAGAGGACCCTAGGCAGCACAAAGTAACTAAACGTCCTGCTGTTCCAACTAAGATGAACAACTGTTTTGATGGATGACAGTCTAGTTCCCTTCTAACTTTTCACCTCCTAGATAAAAAGTACTGAAACACCACAGTGATCCTGCTTCCTGACAACTCCCCAAAGATAACTGGTCCTTGTTTCCCTAAATCCATATTAGAATCACCAGTACAAGCCCAACTCTACACTAAGCCCCTATTCTCTCCTGCTTATAGTCTCAGGGGTATGTTTGTTGTTGTGTTTTTTTTTTTTGTCTTGCCACAACAAGTTTAATAAACCTGATTTTGTTTGACCCTTGTTTGAAGGTTGGTTTCCGGGCAGTCTTCGTCTGGTGGGCTTCAACAATCCAAATCATGAAACGGACACCCTTGTCCATTTGGTGGTCTTATTAGCTAGGTAACCTCAGGAAAGTTACAAATTTCTTTGAACCTTGGTTCTTCACCCATAAAATGGGTATATAGTATGCTTCTTTGAGTTGAGGAGATGAATTGAGAATACACATAGAGCAGTTAGTTGCACAGAGCACCCTAAAAAGGCAATAAATATTAGCTATTATAATTATTACATGCTATAAGACCAGGCTTGCAACTTTTATTCACCTCAAGGTCAGAAAAAGGTTTAGCGCTTCATGTAAGAGACACTGAGAAAGGGAGGTTATCTTGGTCCTATTTCTGCAGTAAACAAAATGAGATTTCAAATCCTTTGTCCATTTTAAACATCTGAGGAATGCTGACTTCAGAATCCTATGGTGTACATATTTAAGAAAGTTCAGTGCGTGATGTGCGTTAACATCTTCAATTTATTTACTTCAATTAGAACAAAAAGTCTTCTAAACATTCTTATATCTTAGTCCAAAATAATCTTAGTCCATGATAACCACTTTCACCTTGTCTATTTTTTTTCACCAGTCCTACACATTCATACTAGACTAGGTGGCATGTCTATCGTCTTATTTAGGCAAGAGTTGTTCATGTCCATCCACCTAATTTCTTCCAGCTAGTGGACTAGAAAGTACATGCTGATTTTCTTCTATTTCAGCAGCAAATAAGGTTATTCTAGCTTAAATTGAATAGATGAGGAATTACTGAAGTCTTCTCTGGATGTAACTTCTTACACAAGAGAATCAAAGCACTTTGGAACAATGAGGTAGCTTAGAAGCCAATAATGATTCTGATTTGCTTATTCTGTAGAGGATGAAACTGACAGCAGGGTCCAAGAATTTAAGATACTTGAATTGCTTTAACTGGTTAAGCTCAGGGTCAAGACCAGGTTGTAGGACTCCTGACTCCAAGTCCAAACAGATAATCTACTCAGTCTACTGGTCACAGAGCCTCACAACCACACCTCTAAGCTTCATAGTGCATGCACCTCCATCAGGCATTGTGCCAAGCACTTTGCATGGATGATCACATATTTTCCTCGCAATATCTCTACAAAGGTTGATACTATTATTATTATTATTACTACTACTATTATTATTATTTCCACTTTACAGGTGAGGAAACTGAGGCTCACAGAGGCAAAGTTAGTGAGGAAGCCAGCCTCTGAAGTATTTTGATTCTACAGCTCACACTACTAACCATTGTATATGCTCTCCCTACCTAACACTCACCTAAATAGTCAACATCTATTATAAGTCTACAGTTATCAATGTCGTGTCTGGAAAGATACTGTTTTCTGTCCTCATCAAGCTCCAGGAATGCCCTTCTTCCTCCCTCCTCCTCTTTCTCTTGCCCATCTTAACCACCTTGGGAACACGCACTCATCTTTCAAGCCTTCACCATGGAAGGCTTGGCCTTTTCACCACTGCACCCCCTTTAGACCTGGCACTCTGTCCTTAGTCACATCCCACTGTCCACACAGCCATATTCTCTTCATGGCCCTCCATCCATTTCTAATCCCTCTCCAGGTTGTTTTCCCTCTTGAATCCATTTACTTCTTGTCTACACAGGCTACTGTTACCTGTAACCCAGGCTGAGTTATACCCTTACTGGACTGCCTCCACCCTCATCCTCTAATTTATTTTCCACATAGCATTTATTTTCCACAAGCCATAATGCCTCTGTTTTACATTTCGGTGGCTTCCTCTGTAGTTACTTAGGATGAAGTCACATATCTTCCATCCTGGTCTCATTTTTCACAACTGTCCCTCACCATAGACTTTCAGCCACTCTGTTTGTCCAAGCTCTTTTCTTCCTCAAGTCTCTCAAAAACAGGCTCCTTGTCTCCTTGTCTCCAGACTGTCCTCCCTACTCTCCCACCCTTAAAGCTGCACAGGAATGATTTTCTTCTCATTCTTCCTGCCTCAGAAGTAAATGTTTCCTCAGAAAAGCTCATCTTCTGTCCATTGCTATCTGTCAGTAACACTGGCTTTAATTTCTTCCTTCATACACTCATCACAACCTACAACTGTTTATTTACTTATAGTCTGTCTCCCCAACCCTAACTGCCATGAAATCATGTCTGCCTTGCTCACTACTCTGCCTTGAGTGCACACAACAGTGCCTGGCACATGGCCGGTGTTGATAAGCGCTGTATGGATAAATGAATTCTACCCCGTATGTATTTCTATCATAGTAAAATTTTATCTTCTTTCCCTATATATGTTTTTTTTTTTTAATTCAGGGCTCTTAGAGTACTTGTTTTATTTATTTTTAAAGATTTTATTTATTTATTCATGAGACACAGAGAGAGAGAGAGAGAGGCAGAGGGAGAAGCA